CTAAGTTGCCCAGGCTGACCTAGAACTTTTTTTTTTTTGGTATGGGGGAGCGAACTCAGGTCCTTTCGCTTGAGCAGCAGGCAGCGGAAACCACTGAGCTAAATCCCCGGCCCAACCCTGAACTTTTGATCCTTCTGTTTCAGCCTTCCTAGTAGTTGGGCGACAGGCTTGGGTAACCTTGCCCAGTGGCATCCAGACTTTTATTTTAATTTTATTTGGTACCGGGTATCAAACTCAGGTCTTTGCGCTTGTGCGGCAGGCTGCAAAACCACTGAGCTAAGTCCCTGGCCCCGCCTTCAGACTTTTAAACCTCGTTGTGTGCTTTTGGGAAGAGGATGCTGGGTAGTTCTTTATAAGCTGTAGGCTGAGACACATGTTAGTGTTTGGGAGATGGCATTGTTTGCTGCCATGCTCTTTACTTTGGAATACATTCTGTGAAGTCAATGTATGTTGCCGTTTCATGCAGTAGAGACTTCCTTCTTGGGAAGTATTTGGGAACTTCCAGGACATTTCTGTATCTTGTTTTTAGGGACTAAAGATTTGGAGATGACTGTTACACGTGTGGCAGTCCATTTGGGAGGAAAAGAGTTAATATTTGTAGAGTATCTTGTGCTCCATACAAATATGTTCCATATGCTTTACATATGTTAATTTACTCAGTCCTCCCAATAGGCTTGATAAGGTAGGTATTGTTATCTCCACACTGCAGATGAGGAAACACATTTGTAGAAGAGAGACTGTTTTTAAGTGTTTCTATATATGATACTTTTTTTTTTTTTTTGGTACCGGGGATTGAACTCAGGACCTTGTGCTTGCGAGGCAGGCGAGGTGCCACTAAGCTGAATCCCTGGCTATATATACTTCTGACAGTGTGGTTCCCCTCCCCCTCATTAACCAATTCTCCAACTCTCTGGGGATCAACTGGGTGTCCTCAATTTCATTCAGTTCTGACACTAATGACCTAGAGTTTATGCAGCCTCTACAGGTTAAGGGCTCAGTCCTATAAAAATTCTTTCCACTTTAGATGTTAATCAGAAGTCTCAGGTGTTGCCCTCTATACTGCTGACCAACCAGCTGTATATAATAGGGGTTTTCACAACTCCTTAAGTTCAGTAATTTGCTAGAAAGGCTCACAGAAACCAGGAAAATGCTTTACTTACTATTATCCATTTATTATAAATGATATAACTCAGAAACAGCCAAAATGTGTCTAGCTCCAGACCCTTTCTCTTAGGCCACTCTCTAGCACCTCAGTGTGTTCAACAGCTCAAAAGCTATTCCAGTCTTCTTGCTTGGAAGTACTGTGTGTGTTTGTGTTTCATTACTATGAGGCCTGATTGATTAAGCCATCACTCATTGCTGATTAACTCAGTCTCAAATCTCTTTCTCTTCTCTGCCTGTAGTGTTGGGAGGGTGAAAGTTTCATTCTTTGAGTCATCTTTTTTTTGGGGGGGGGGCATCAAGGATTGAACTCAGGACCTTGCACACTTGCAAGGCAGGCAGCAGAACCACTGAGCTAAATCCCTGGCCCCGATCCTTGGTCTTTTTGGTCACTAGCCTCTATCCTGAAGCTGTCTCCTGGTCTCATGGCCCTGGTCGCTAGTCATCTCATTAGCATACAAAAGACACTCTTGGCACTTAGGTGCTCTGGGAAACCAAAGGCCAAATACACATTTATTACAGAGACCATGGGCAAGTTTCTTAAAGATCAACAAAACATGGAACTAGTATTTGAGTTTAAATTTGCCTATCTTTAAACATCTCTTTTTCTCCTACTGTAGTGTATATATCTTAAGATATATTGTGGTATATTCCCAGCTGTATGTGCACGAGAGACCCTTTCAGTTTGAGAGTGCCCTTTGGTTAGAGGAGGAGAGACAAACTTAACAAAATGTGTTTATGGATTCCATAAGGAGTCCCCCCCCACACCCCCTGCCCCCGAATGAGGGATCAAACTCAGGACTTTGTGCTTGTGATGGGTTAAATTCCCGATGGGTTGGTTTTAATTTTTTTTTATATTTATTTATTTATTTATTTATTTATTTGTATCGGCGATCAAACTCGGATCCTTCCGCTTGCAAGGCAGGCGGCGGAACCACTGAGCTAAATCCCTGGCCCCTAATTTTAATTCTAAATTTGTTTGTCTCCTGTGGAGACACTTAGAACAGAGCTTTTTGAATGGTAGGAACTGGATAAAAATTGTGCATTAATTGAATATGAATAATATAGCAAAATGGCTGAATATGGGAAAGATACAATCTTTATAAATCTCATAGGAGCTAAGTCAAGAAAATATCACTGCATTCATTTATTCATTTATTTTTGAGACAGGATCTCACTCTGTATGCTAGGCTGGGCTTGAACTTACTATGTACCCAAGACTGGCCTTGAACTCTCAGCAATCCTCCTGCCTAAGCCGCCCCAGTGCTGGGACTACAGGGTTGTACCACCATGCTCACTGCTTATTTTTATGACTTGAATTGATTGAGAGGGTGTGAACATGATATGAGCTTTTAGGTGAGTTGTTTTGCTTAAGTGTTTTTGCGTATTGAGAAAATATTTGTGGGTTGATATGTTGATGAATTGTGAGAAAATTTTCACCTTGAACTAAAATTTTTGGCTTGGCACATCTCTTTCTCTGTGGTAGCAAATGTGTGATAATTTTCAGAGTTTTTTTGCGGGGATACTGGGAATCAAAATTCTTTAGCTCATTTTATAATAGATTGGCTAGTTTGGTTTTAGGAGAATTCTGTTATAATTAACTTACTTGCTTTCTCTAACTTTTTTTTTTGTTTGTTTTGGTGCCGGGGATCGAGCTCAGGACCTTGTGCTTGTGATGCAGACGATGGCACCACTGAGCTAAATCCCCGGGCCCTTTCTCTAACATTTTTATGGATTTGTTTTGAAGAACCTAACAAAACCCTTTTATTGTGCTAAATATTTCTGGAAGATGTGTATTTTACTCGATGCTCTAATGTGAAACTGCAAATAACTATATTTGAAAAAAATAAATTGAAGAGTGAGATAGCCTCATAAGTTTTTTTTCTCATTGTCAAGGTTAAATATGTATAGATCGGGAAAGATAGAACTGAGTTCGTAAGAAGACCCTGAAACTGATCCTTAGGCATCTATGCAGAAACATTTAGTTCCTGTAAATGAATGAATGTCTCCCAGCCCAGACAGTTACACTGAAGAATTCCAAAGAACTTTGGGATGAGGTCATTCAGTCACATTCAGTAACCTTTAAGGGATCATAAAATTGCTGCAATAGATGTATTTTTGAAACCAGAAAAAAGGTGAGAGCTTGGATATAGTCCTTGTCAGAATTTAGAATGGAGGCTAGGAATGTAGCTTAGTGGTAGAACACTTGCTAGCATGCTCGAGGCCTTGGGTTTGATCCTCACTAGTGCAAAAAAGCAAAACAACAAAAACAAAACTAGGGCATGGTGGTGCTTACTTGTAATCCCAGGACTCTGGGAGGGTGAGGCAGGAGGATCAGAAGTTCAAGCCCAGCCTGAGAAATTTAGCCGGTTAATGAGACTAAGGAGGATGGGGTGGGCTGTGGGGGCTGTGGCTGTAGCACAGTGTGAAGGCCCTGGTTCAGTTTCTAGTACTGAAAAAAAAAATTAGAGTGTTGGAATCCCTTGCTTTCTTCCTGTCCAATGTGGGCCCGGCAGAATGGCTGCTCCAAAGGAGAAGGATGACAAAACCTATGTTATACTTTGGATATAATATGTTCTCCAAAGGCTCATTGTTGTTGAAGGCTTGGTTCCTGGTGTGCTTTTGGAAAGTGATTAGATTGAGAGGACCCTAACTTTATCCATTGGATTAATCAATTTATGAGGTCATAATTTGATGGCATTAAAGGGGTGATGGAAACAGGAAGGGGCCTAGTTGAAGGGAATGGGTCATGAAGGCCTGACCATGGGGATATCCCATCCACAGTCCCCCTTTATCTGGCATTTTTCTCCCCTTTCTGCTTCTCTGCTGCCACAAAGTGAGCAGCTTTGCCTCACCAACCTTTTCTGCCGTTTCTGCCTCACCATAGGCCTGAAAGCCTTGGGGCCAGCTGTTCATGGACTGACACCTCTGAAATCTTGACCTACAATAAACCTTTTCTCCTTTAAGTTGTTTATGTTAAGTATTTTGTCACTGGAACAGAAAGCTAATACAGGGAATTCTGCTGTCAGTGAGGTGGTGACAGAATATGCCGTGAATGTTCTTACACGCATTCATGGAGTGGGCTTCATGTGTGGCGCTTGGGCACTTGAGATCCTGGAAATTTGACGTGAAGGACAGGGATACTCCGGATTGTGCCTTGATGCTAGGCTCAACAGAGCACTCTGGGCCAGAGGAGTTAGAAAGGTCCTAATGTGTGTAGCTGTCCAGAAAACAAAGTGATGTTGAAGATTCACCAAACAAGCAGTATACTTTGGTTACCATGTACCTGATTACACTTTCCAAAATATGTCAGTAGGGATGAGAACTGATTGTCGAATAAAGTTATAAAATTGCAAAAAAAAAAAAAAAAAAAAAAGAAGACTTATTAAGGGTATTGTATGGGGGCTTAAAAAAAATTTATAATGTTAAGAGCCAACATGGCCCGAGATTATGTCAGGTCAGAGAAACCACATTTTCTTCATTAAGGTGGGTACTCTGGTAGAACCAGGGAATACTTTCAGCATCCATTTTTGAATTGAGGAATATTTTGATGGGAATAATTAGGATATACTTGAGGATAAATTTGAGCTCTCTTAACAAGTGATGCAGAAGTAGAGGTACAGGAAGGAGATGTGCTAGAAACAACACTCTTAAAAGAAAAAAAAAAAAAGTAGGACATTTAGGCTCAAGGCGCAGCCACAGCCAAGACAGTCCCGCCGGCCGGGAATGCAGCCTCCCGCGGATTGCGGGGCGCCAGCTCTGGCGGGCGAGCTGGGGCGGACTTCCGCGCCTGCGTCACGCAGGCGCAATCGCTCACAGGGCGGGCCAGAGGCGGCTGGGTTGTGGTTCCGGTTCCGCTGCCCACACGTGAAGTGAAGGTCGGTGAATTGGTGCGGTGTACGTCTAGGCAAGCGTGCTCGCGCTGGCATGGATTCCTCCTCTTCGTCTTCCGCGGCGGGTCTGGGCGTAGTGGACCCACAGTTGCAGCATTTCATCGAGGTGGAGACTCAGAAGCAGCGTTTCCAGCAGCTGGTGCACCAGATGACTGAACTTTGTTGGGAGAAGTGTATGGACAAGCCAGGGCCAAAGTTGGACAGTCGGGCTGAGGCCTGTTTTGTGAACTGCGTTGAGCGCTTCATCGATACAAGCCAGTTCATCTTGAATCGACTGGAACAGACCCAGAAGTCCAAGCCAGTCTTCTCAGAAAACCTTTCTGACTGATCTTAGCATTACCTCTTTAGAAAAGGAAGGTAGTTCAAGAAAAGAACTGCTGATGGGATGAAGAAATGGCTGTTGGGGTGACTGACTCCCACTTTCTGTCACTTTTGAGACATTTTGTCATTTGAGAATAAACAAAGACTAGTTTTTGTGTGTGGGGTTTTAGGGTCATATATGTATTTACTTTTTTTTAACTGCTAATCTTGTGAAAATAATTGACAGACGAGTGAGAGATTAGATGTGTGTTATTGTATGCGGGAGTATGCTTTTCTCAAGGCTCCCTTACCTCTTCCTGTAATTTTTTTTTTCTTTTTGGTACAGGGAATTGATCCCCCCTTTCTGTAATTTTGATAGTGGAACTTCATTCTATAATTTGGTAGTGGAACCATGTAGATAAAATCTAATTGTGAATTCGTTCAGACTTTTGGGGAGATCTTTGTGTCTTGTCAGAAAGCACATCAGTGAGAGAACAGTTTGGCACGTAACTGGGACCATCTTATTTAGTGATTGTGTCAGTGCTGAAAAAAAATCAGTAGAGTATACAGTGTATTTTAATTTTCTAGGTTATTTCCCTTCCCTATACCATGATTCACTTAAATACCTATGTTAAAGTTTGGTCTCAAGGTAGAGCTGACAACCTGGGAATCCAGAGGCCTTTGTTATAAAGAAATCTAGACAGTGAATATAATTCTCATTACTATATGGCCACAGGAATAAATTAACTTACCCTATATGTCACGGTACAAGAAATTCGAAAGATATGTTTAAAGAAATTTAAAGATTTAGGCCAAAGACTAGCAGTTTTAGGTAAAGGTGTATGTCTGTTAGTCATAGATTTAGTTGGCTGCATTCTTTTGATCACTGAAATAAAAAATTCTACAAGATTTTTAAAAAGACAAACGACTGCACGTTTATGCAAAGTACAGTTTAGTTGAGGGATTGGATAGTCCTATTTTAAATAATGTTAGACTACATGTACAGTAGATTTAAATTCTATAAACAAGGATGGTGAGAACTGAAAATCATGCTGTGTGAACTACAATCAAAGAACCAGATTTTTTTTATGACCAGTAAATGGCTTTGACAATAGCTCCTACAGAAGAGTTCCAGAAGTACTTGGGCATGGGGAAATGGCATTACCCCATGGGATACCCTGTGTTGGACTACCATGGATTTTGATAAAGCTCACTGGATAAATGTAGATTGCCTAATCAGGCAGAGAAGAACATCTGCAAAAGAATGAAGGCATGAAAAAGCATGCCATGTTTGGGGAAATGTAGAGAGGGAGAGAGGAGTGGTAAGAGACTAGATGTTGGCAGGTGCTTTATAGGCAGGTGGATATTGGAACCAGGAAGAAAAAAGTGCATTTATTTTTTTATTTATTTTTTGGTACCTGGGATCAAACTCGGGTCCTTGTGCTTCCACAGCAGGCGGCGAAACCACTGAGCTAAATCCCTGGTCCAAAAGTGCATTTTTTTCAGTACTGGAGGTCAAACCCAGGAGTACACTATAGTGTTGTCAGCCCTTTTTAAAAAAGACTTGCCAAGTTGCCCTGGTGCGATTTGAACCTGTAATCCACTTCTCTGGGCCTCCTTATGCTAGCAGTACAGGAGTGTTCCAACAAGCCCAGCCATTTGTGTTAAGCCAGGCCAGGACTCAAGTTTTTTCATGTCCCTTTTAAGAGCTCTCCTTCCCTTCCTGTGTGTGTGTGTGTGTGTGTGTGGTGACAGGGTCTTGCTGTGTAGTTCAGGCTGGCCTTGAATTTTAATATGTAGTCCAGGCTGGTTCCAAACTTGCAGCGATCCTCTTGCCTTAGCCTCTTGAGTGCTGGGATTACAGGTGTGTGCCACCATGCCGGGCTCCTTCCCTTCCTTTAAGTATGTTTAGGTTTATGAAAGGATTCTGAGATGATCATACAGAAACCATGTAGGACTATCTTTTATATTCTTTGTGTGTGTGCATGTGCATGTGTGCAACCAAGGATGGAATCCAGGGCCTTGTACATGCTAGGCAAGTGCTCTACCACTGGGCTTACCACCAACCCCCCACCCTCTTAAAAATTTTTTTTTTTGAGACAGAGTCTTGCTAAGTTTTGCAGGCTGGGGTCAAATTTTCACTCCTATCTCAGCATCTGAGTGGCTGGGATAACTGGGTTGTGTTGCCACATCTGGCTATCTCTCTCTTTTTTTGGCCAGGGGTCTGTACTGGGGATTAAACTGAAGGCTTTCGTACTGAGGAACATCTCCAGCTCTTTAAAAAAAAAAATTGTTTTTTGAAACAGGTCTCGCTAAGTTGCTAAGGCTGGACTTGAATTTGGTGGCCTCCCAGAGTGCTGGTATTACAGACATGAGGCACCATACTGGGGTTCCTCTGATTATCTTTTGCATTCTTTTTTTTTTTCCGGAGATAGACTTTGCTGTGTAATTTAGGCTGGCCTTGAATTCACCATGTAGCCCAGGTTGTCCTTGAACTCAGTGCACTCCTCCTGCCTCAAGCCTCCTGACTGCCTGGAATACAGGCATGTGCCACCACGCCTGGCTATCTTTTATATTCTTTTACAAGAAAAGCTATGACCTACAAGTAGTAATTTGAAGGGCATTAACATTTCCAGTTGTTAGTGCCAGATATTCTGGTTATAATCAGCTTATTTCTTTTAGGTCATTCTACAGTCATTAATTTTTTTCTACTTTGCCATGTATTTGCTTAAGAGAGGATTCATTGCTTGTTCCAGTGGTAGATGCTAGAATTGTCAGTTGCAGCTATAGTGATCCAGTAGTTAATAGCCATGTCAAGTAGAGGATGTATTTTTATGTTTATCAAAACTGTATGGTAAATGTCTTGGCAGTCTGGGCACCCCTTTTCTTGGTAAAGATATTTTTACTAATTTAGATTTCCTCTATAGATGTAAGTTTTCTTTACATAAGGGCTGCTTATTGTCAAATTTCTCCAAATAACCAGTTGGAAATATTTCTAACAAGTATATTTTGGACTGGAGTGGCATATCTGGTCTCTTAAAGTTGTATTTTGAAGGGTGGTTATATTACCAACTTGGTTCTTTTTCCTTCTCAGAATTGTGGAATCAAAAATAAACCAAACACTGATTGAACAGCAAAGGAGACTTATTCTTGGCTAAGACTAGGAGAGGTGGTATATAAAAATTGCAAATCAACTTATCCACCTGTTAGGGCTCAAGATACGGGGTAAAAGAAATGAGAGGGAAGAATAGGTTAGTAAAAGGGAGGAATAACCATGTCTTTTCTGGGGATTTGGGTGTCACTTTTTGCTTCTTTCTTGGTTCTTTTGATCATTGTTATGAAAACTGTCACCTGTGGTAGTGCCAGGAGAGTTAACATGGAGATGGAGTTATAGTGAGCTCACAGGTTATGTAGTAGACGACTGGCAGCCATCTTAGATCCAACCAGCTTCAGCTGGCCCACTTGAAGAGGAACTCAAGGCATCATGTCTTCAAAGATAAATAAGTTTTATGGCAGGATGGGAATTCAGCTAGGTCAAGCAGGTAGTACAAGATTGGGGCAGAGTGACAGTTCTGAGCCTCAACCACAGTTTTATTTATTTAAAAAAAAATTTTGTTTTTGTTTTGGTACTGGGGATTGAACCCAGGGGTTTCAGACTAAGCTACATTGCCAGCCCTTTCTAACTTATTTTTTTATTTAAAATTTTTTGAAATTAAAAAATTTGTGTTTATTTATTTATTGGTACTAGGGATTGAACCCAGGGCCTTCACACTGAGCTATATCCCTAGCTCTTTTAATTTTAATTTTTTATATTTTTGATGCTGGGAATCGAACTTAGGACCTTTCGGTTGCCAGGCAGGTGTGGCATTGCTGGACTATGTCCCCGGCCGATCTTTTTTTATTTTGAGACAAGATCTTGCTAAGTCTTCTTTTGGTGACTTCAGTAGTTTTGAAGAATATTGGTCAGATATTTTTGTAGACTATCCTTCAATTGGTATGTGTGGTATTTAGGTAGGAATTTTGGTTTTTGGAGGAAGATCCCAGACATAAGTTGCCATTCTCATATCACGAATACATGTAGTGAGTATAACTTATCAGTGCTGATGTTAATCTTGATAAGCTGGTAGTGTTTGTAATGCTTCTCAAATGTAAAGTTTAAAATCTCTATTCCTTACTTTGTGGCAGAAGTAGATGCTCCAGGTTCATTTTGTATGATTCTTGCCTCAGTTGTAGAACTAGCCTTTTCTACATGTTCCAAGTTTCTCCAGGTTCTGTATTTTGGGGAATGGTATAAGATTCCCCAGTGGTATAAGACCTGTGGTAGTTGTGCTCATTGTTACTGAGATGATGTTGCTTCTAGGTCCTTCGATAGTAATTTTTGTTGTTATTTTGTTTTGGTTTTTTGAGAGGGTCTCCTTGTATAGTCCAGGCTAGCCTTGAACTCACTACGTAGATCAGGCTGGCCTTGAACTCCCAATGCTCCTCCTACCTCAGCCTCTTGAGTGCTGGGATTACAGGTGTGAGCCACCATGCCTGGCCTTCTATTCTGGACTTTTAAAAATATAAATGGAATCATACAGTATGTGGTCTTTTTGTTTCTAGCATCCTTGATTTAGCATGTTTTAAAGGTTTTCTGTCATGAACATGTATAGTACTTTACTCCTTTGTATAACTGAATAATGTTCCACTATGTAGTCATAAAATATTTTGTTTGTTGATGAATAATCAGTCAGTCCTGTTTTTAACCCCATCTTTATCTCCACTTTCCTAAATGTCTGGTACTACAAGTTCCTGAGCTTTTGGAGATTATGTTATATCTTAATTTTCTCATGTCCCCTGTCAGTAATCACTCATCCATGTGCTTTTTAGCAATCACTTCCCTCTGCTTTATGTTATAGGTAAAGAAATTGAGACTCACAAAATGCAGTAAATTGTTTAAGATACTACAGTTAGTAGCTAAGATAGGATCCTGTCTCTTGGCTTCTAGGCTAGTTGCTCAGACTTATTTTAGGCTACTTTTAAATTTGAATGTGTGGCGCGATGCTCAGGTTTGCCTAGTCCAGTTTTTTGGAGGGGTTAGCTTTTACAGAAAAGAGCCTGTGTGCATGGATAGCCTTTGAGGACTCTTGCTGTGTTCACAAGAGTGTGTACATATAGAACTAATTTATTAATTAGAGAGGAACATGGGATCGGGGA